CAGCAGTAGTAGTAGTAGTAGTAGTAGTAGTAGTAATAGTAGTAGTAGTAGTAATAGTAGTAGTAGTAGTAGTAGTAGCAGTAGCAGTAGCAGTAGCAGTAGCAGTAGCAGTAGCAGTGGCAGTGGTGGTAGTACCAGTAGTAGCCGTAGTAGCACTAGCCGCAGTAGTAGTAATACTAGTCGTACTGTTAGTGTGTTAATAATGAGAATAATCGTAGTAGTGATAGAAGCAGCCGTAGTAGTAGCAGTAGTACTACAGGCTCGGAAACATTTCTCTTGACGCCACAACGGGCCCCAACAACAACAACAACAACAACAACAATCACTTTACCCGAACGCTCAGTGTTCTCACCAGTGCCAGGGTTTTCATGCGACGCCAGCCAATACCCCCACTTTGTGGGGGGGCAGTGCAAGCTCTACCAAATATCCACACGACTCTTCGCCACCACCCACACCCAGCTTCCCGCCCTATGACGTTCGGACACTTCACTTCGTGGCCTGCGGACGACCGTGGCTACTACACTGGCGTGGAGTACACACCCACAGAAGTTGTTAGGACAGCGCGCGCGGGTAGAAATTTTGAAAAGTCGTGCAGGTGTTTTTCGAGGACCTACGGTGCGATTCGTGTGATTTTATGATGCGCGGTGCTAAAATTCTTAAGAAGCCCAATGGTTTTTGGAGATTTCGGCGTGCGCGCGCGAAGAAAAAACGAATGTGTCCCGCATGGTATTATTTGACAGGGATGATGGCCCTGGCAGGTGCGCAACCGTTGTCGCAGAAGTTCGAAAAAGTTGCTCGCAAAAGCCCGTTTGACAGAAATGTTTAAAAAGTGTTGGTTTTCCTACGAATCCGCAAGAGCGCGCGGGATGAGATTTTGACATTTTTTGTTGAAAAACCATTGGTTTTTTGATGTTTTTATGTTAAAATCGCTCCGAACACTAAGCTTTTGGAAGGATTTCGTCTTGCGCGCGCGAATGTCCACTTTACCTTATTTTTTGCAAGGGATTCTTGAAATTTGATTATATTAGAACAAGAAATGTCATTTTATAGTGTTTTTTGCAAGGGAAAACGGATTACAACAAAACAACCGGATCTTGATGACATCGTATTACCTGAGGCTTCCTCACGAAAATGATGAAAATGTAGCTGCGGCCTAGGCGGCGCAGGGGGGCCGTGCACCAGGGGTCCCAACAATAATTATTCTTTAGAATTAATAATGTTCAACAACCGAAAGACGAATGAGACCTTCTGCGCCCAACCCTGTCCGCATCAGCGGGTGCGCGATCCAAAGGCCCCCCCCGTAAAATTCTAAAAGGCTTCCGCCCGCGGGGGGGGGGGCCCAGGGGGGTGATCCACTCCTTTAATTAGAATTTTATTAAAGAGAGTGGATGGAGCCTGGTTTGGACGATTCTGCCTGGGACGTCCTCAAAATCTGCCTGGTTTGGGGCCTGGTTTGGCCTGGTTTGGCCTGGTTGGGCGGCGCGCCCCGCCCGAGACATCCTCAAACTTTGCCTGGCTTGGCCCCTGGTTTGGCCTGGTTTGGGCCCGTTTCGCTTGAGACATCCTCACAATTTGCTTGGTTTGGCCTGGTTTGGGCCCGGTTTCGCTTGAGACGTCCTAACAATTTGCCTGGTTTGGCCTGGTTTGGGCTGGTTTGGGCTTGGTTTCGCTTGAGACGTCCTCGCAATTTGCTTGGTTTGGCTTGGTTTGGGCCCGGTTTCGCTTGAGACGTCCTTGCAATTTGCCTGGTTTGGCCCTGGTCTGGCTTGATTTGGGCCTGTTTCGCTTGAGACGTCCTGACAAGTTGCCTGGTTTGGCCTGGTTCGGGCCCGGTTTCGCTTGAGACGTCCTCACAATTTGCCTGGTTTGGCCCTGGTTTGGCCTGGTTTGGGCCCGGTTTCGCTTGAGACGTCCTCGCACTTTGCTTGGTTAGTGTTCGTATGCGCGCACTTTCGCCGGATGCGTCCTCACACCGCGGATGGTCTGGCATATTCGGGGGCGCGCTTCGCTCGGATGTCCTCCTGGTTTGGGGCAGCTTCGGCACGGCTTTGGACAAACGTTCCTGGTTCGACCTGGCATATTGCGCGCGTATCTGGAGAAATATCTGCAATTAGTTCGGTATCGGGCGTGGGCATGCCCAGACTCCACCCTACACATACTCATTGTCCTCCTCCCCCTCCTTTTCCTCCTCCTCCTCCTCCTCCTCCTCGTGCACCTACCTCCTCCCTCCCCCGTTCTCCGCCTCCTCCACTTCCTCCTCTTCCTCCTCCTCCTCCAACACGTCCGCCCTCGTTGCACTCCCCCCTCCCCCCCCCGCTTCCTCTTCAGCGGTCACTCGATGAGGTGACCTTTGCAGACGGCGGTTCCCCCCAATCAGTCTCGCCCACTCCTCCCCGAAGTAGCGCGATCCGCGAAAATGTCGACGCCAACACACGAGGAGCAGTATCGCCGATGCAGCAAAGAGAAATGTCGAGCGAGTCAGCGGGCCCCTCTTACTCCCCGACCGCCCAGAAACAATGGAACCAGCGGCGAGTCAGCGGGCCTCCGTTGCTCCCCGCCCGCCCAAAATCAATAGAACCAGCAGCGGGTCAGCGGGCATGTCTTCCTCCCCGGCCGCCCAGAAACATTGGAATCTACGTCGGCGCTGGTTTTCCAGTGAGGCCAGCAGTGAAGCGAGAACCAGGGAGTGGCCGGCATTCGGGCAAGAGCGCACGTGAACGTCCTAGCCGTCGTCGTCGTCGTCGTCGTCGTCGTCGCCGTCGTCGTCGTCGTCGTCGTCGCCGTCGTCGTCGTCGTGGTCCTGGTCGTGGTCCTGGTCGTGGTCGTGGTCGTGGTCGTGGTCGTCGTGGCCGTCGTCGTCGTGGTCGTGGTCGTCGTGGTCGTCGTGGTCGTCGTGGTGGTCATGGTGGTCGTGGTGGTCGTGGCGGTCGTGGTGATGGTGATAGTGATGGTGATGGTAATGGTGATGGTGATGGTGATGGTGATGGTGATGGTGATGGTGGTGGTGGTGGTCGTCGTCGTCGTTGTGGTCCCCTGGTCGTGGTCGTGGTCGTGATCGTGGTCGTCGTGGCCGCCGTCGTCGTGGTCGTGGTTGTCGTGGTCGTCGTGGCCGTCGTGGTGGTTATGGTGGTCGTGGTGGTCGCGGCGGTCGTGGTGACGGTGATAGTGATGGTGATGGTAATGGTGATGGTGATGGTGATGCTGGTGGTGGTGGTAGTCTTCGTCGTCGTCGTCGTCGTCTTCGTCTTCGTCTTCGTCGTCGTCGTCGGGTGCTTTGGGCGCTCCGATACACATTGAGTTAGTTATGTCACGTGATGTATGGAACTGAAAGAAAAAATAATTCACGCACGTGGTGGGCAGCATTACACTTGTGACGTTATGCCCCCTGGGGGGTCCCAAGACACATTGGGATGTGCCGACTGGTATACGTCACGTGGCACAACCACCACTGATAGAATGCCTGCTGGTATCCGGCGTTCGGCCACGTGGCGGCGTCAAGAGAAAAACTGTTCCAGCCTGTAGTAGCAGTGGTCGTAGCACTCGTAGCAGGAAGAGGAGTAGTAATAGTAGAAGTAGGAAGTAGAAGTAGAAGTAGAAGTAGTAGTAGTAGTAGTCGTAGTAGTAGTAGTAGTAGTAGTAGTAGTAGTAGTCGTAGTAGTGGTAGCAGTAGTAGTAGTAGTAGTAGTAGTAGTAGTAGTAGTAGTAGTAGTGGTAGTAGTAGTAGTAGTAGTAGAAATAGAAGTAGTAGTAGTAGTAGTAGTAGTAGTAGTAGTAGTAGTAGTAGTAGTAGTGGTGGTAGTAGTAGTAGTAGTAGTAGTAGTAGTAGTCCTTGTAGTAGCAGCTGCAGCAGTAGTAGTAATAGTAGTACTAGTAGCAGCCGTAGTAGTAGTAGTAGTAGTAGCAGCAGCAGTAGTAGTAATAGTAGTTGTTGCAGTAGTAGTAGTAGTAGTCGTCGTCGTAGTAGTAGTAGTAATAATAATAGTAGTAGTAGTCGTGGTCGTAGTCGTCGTGGTGTTAATGGTATCTCGGTGGCAACCAATAATGCGACAGCATCTTATATGCGGTGCTATAAGCAAAGTCGTGGCTGCAAAATAAAATTGCGGCACATGTGCCCTAAATCATCGGCCGCATAATTACTGGTACGGAAGTAGTGTGTGTGTGTTTGTGGTAATGTAATGCGTGTAGAACTGGTATGGGTGAACATATACGTATTCCGCCTGGCACCAGCAAAAAATATAACCAGGCTCTCGCCATCGCGCTCAGCAAGACACCCTCTAGGGCAAAATAATTTGTGCAAAGGGGCCTTTGTGTTTGCTACGCAGGGCGCCAGTGACACGCGGGCAGCTTACCCGCTAATGTCGGCGCATACGCGCCCGTTTTTTGCATCGCTCATGTGATCTGCAACCGGCGTGCCGTCTAGGCACGGCTCCTAGCTGTCAGTCGGGCTCGGTGGCGGGACTGCGTGGCTTACATGCTCGAGGGCTCCCCCCCACGCCTGCGTGCGGCGCGCTGGAGCCACTCTACGCCCCTTCTGCTGCTGCGGCTGCTCCATCTCGTCCGTCTCCTGCCCCTCCCCCTCCCCCTCCTTCCCGTCCTCCTCCTCCTCCTCCTCCTCCTCCTCCTCCTCCTCCTCCTCCTCGTCCTACCCCTGAGTACCATCCTCATCCTGCCCCCTTCGCTCCCCAGTCTTTTCCTGACCCCGACGGGGGCGAGGGCACAAACCAGCTCGGAGACGAGGCGACGCCTCGTCCCCCTGCTCCTGATGCTCTCGCGCCGCTCGCCACGGGCTGGCTGCCTCCTCGCCCTCACACTGCTCCCCCAGATGCCCCTCCTCCTCCTCCTCCTCTCTCCTCTCCTCCTCCTCTCCTCCTCCTTCCCCTCCTCCTCCTCCTCCTCCTCCTCCTCCTCCTCCTCCTCGACCTCCTCCTCCTCCTCCTCGACCTCCTCCTCCTCCTCCTCCCCCTCTCCTCCTGCTCCTCCTGCCGCCGCCGCCCCCTGTCCTGAGGGTGGCACGAGGCACACAGGTAGAAGTTGCAGGCGCGGCAGTCCATGACCGAGTCCCCGGCGTGCACACTGGAGGGGGCTGGCGCGCGAACAACGAGTGGCGAGCCTGCTCCGGCGAAAGCGACGGCGATCTTGGGTTGTGATGATAGGATGAGGGTTGGCGGTAAGAGCGAGGACGAACGAAGAAGGGACTGAGATTGGGCAGGATGATGACACTTATCGACATCAGGCTTGCGAGCGCGACGGCGACGATTAATCGAAGGTTTGCGCCGAGGGTCGCAGTGACGACGATTATGAGCATATTCGCCAGGCCGACTGGCAAGACGGGGATGACTGTGGAAATGGTGATGGGAACTATGGTGAGGACAGGAATGGTCATGGGAAACGAGATGGTGCGATGACGAAGAGGATGGATACGTTGACAACAGCGTCATGCAAATAACACGCGGAACCAGATGGTCACAAGGAATAATGAGACCTAAGTGGGGAAATATGTAGGACAACGTTCGGGCTAACGCCTTTGCAGAACCATACGTTTCGCAGAGGTGGGAACGTCATTGCAAGATGTTGCCCATAGGTAATGATCACGTTCCTTAAACTTTGTTGGCGGTTCTTCCTCCTCCTCCGCCTCTGATCCCTCTGCTGCGTTACTTCTCGTCGCTCCCTGTGCCGCTACGGCGCCATGGCATTGGCCCCCTCGACGACCGCAAGGATACTGCAAGGACCCGAACAGCTGCCTAATGAATGGCTTCAGAAATTCGACGGATTGTCTTGGGACGCCGACGCGGTTCCAAAGAGTTTTGAAAGGTTCATGACAAATGTGCAAAGAGTTCCTGAGAATCCAAAAGGTGTATCCAGGATCCCGGATACCAATGTAATACATCTAAATCTCATAGGTGGGACTTTATGGGGTTTCGCAACACATAGTGGAATATCAAATTGTCTTTAGCATCGTATGAACAAGCGGTGGCTCCCTAAGCTAAACTCACATGATCCAGAGAAACGAACAGATTCCATTGGGCGTCCAAAACGGTTCCCCGCAAGATCTATGAGCGTGCCTGCAAAAACCGTTGAATTACCTGTCCTGGTAAACTTGGGCAGTCACCCGTCGTGGCAATCTGTCCTGGTGCAGTTGTTCGGATCGTGCGAGGTTTCTGGAAGTTCCCTGAGAAGCGTGTCGAAGGGCACTTTGAACCTTATGGGAGGCTCCTCAGAGGCCGTTGGGGGAGTTATCGCACGCTTCTTGGAGGCTTGTGATAAGCTCGCGTGAGGCTTATGAGAAGCTTTACAGCAGATGCTCAGAGGCATCAAGGTGGCTCGTGTGAGGCTTCTGGTAAGCTTCTGCTACGTTTGAAAATACGACCAGAGGCTTATGTGAGGCTTCCGGGAAGCTATCAGAGGATTCCTGGAGGCTTCTGCGAATATCCTGGAAGGGCCCTTCGAAACTCGTGAGAGGCTCACGGGACGTTTCTGCGATGCCCCCTCAGCCTTGCACCACGTAAGTTGAACCACACTGCGTGCACGTCACAGCTTGCAACACACAGCTTCCACCACATAGCTCACCGCCCAGCTGCCAACGCATATGCTGCATCGAATCGCCTGCCTGCGCCACATTGCTAGCACCATATGGCTGGCACTGCGTAGCTCGGCCTACGTAGCTTACACTACACAGCTCTTCCGCCGCATCGCTTGCACCACATACCGCGCACAACGTAGCAGATTGCACCACATACTATGCACATCCAGAGTACAAAAAGTCACTTGGCACCCACACACACGTCTATAACTATACACATTAGCGTATGTGCACAGGTAAACAAAGATAAACGGATATGCACGCATTATCTCTTTATCTGCTTGTGCACATCTGTGTGTTATGCATGTATCTAGATGTGCTCGTGTATACGTGTACAGTTGGAGATCATGCCCGATGGGCGAGTCCTGGGCGGGCAGTATGGGCAGGATCTGCTGCCGACCTCCGTCCCCATGCTTTCCGTACCCGTCTCGATCTAAGCGGGGGAACGCCAAGGGAGGACTTGTGTATGGGGTTAGAGTGCAAAGGTACCGAACCCCCTGATCAGTAATTAGGTAGAGGAAGGGGGGAAAGACAGGGATCTGTTCCTCCTCCTGTGCGACCAGCGTCCTGGTCTCTTCCAGTACCCGAGCCGATACGGCAGGCAAAAGGGCGAGCGAGGAGTAGAGATGAGGGTATGAGACGGGTTGAACCCTCGGCCACCCGGCGTCCCCTCGGCCAGTCCTGTGAAAGGAGCCGTTCCTTTCACAGGACTGGCCGAGGGGACGCCGGGTGGGATCCGCGATGCAGCGGCGATGCATCGGCTGCAGGAAACCCCAAGAGAGCGAAGCCGCACGCTCCTGGGCGGGGTGCGCTATCAAGCCCCTATCGGCGAGGAGTGGACGATTGGAGGAGGAGGAGGAGGAGGAGGAGGAGGAGGAGGAGGAGGAGGAGGAGGAGGGGGAGTCGATACGTTCACCTCTCGGTCTGCCTGTCTGCCCATAGCTCGGGCCTCCAGCGGCCGTCCGTGACGATTCTGGCACCACCGGAGTGCTCTCGACGAGGCGCAGCTGACGGTCCGCACTGGGCTCGAACGCACTGGGCTCGAACGCTTTCGAAAACGTTGTGGGAACTTCCGATCGGAGGGTCAACTGGCCGATCCCCCCAAGTCGACGGCCAACCTGGGGGGGAGTGAGAGGGGGCGGGCCTTTTTAAAAGGTTCGGAAGTCCCCCTGCCTTCTGAGATGTGTTCCACGCCTTCCCTGGAGACGCAGAAAACTTCTCAGAAGGCGGGAGGGCTTCTGAGAAGCCCCGCCGCATTCTGAGAAGGCCTTCTCCTTCTCACCTCCCCCCCCCTCGCTTGCCGCCGACCAACGTTGCCCATCTCCATCGTGCCGAATCTCTGAACGTTTTCTTCTCCAGCGTTTCGACATTGGGCGGGAGGGGGAAGGGGGGGGGTCTTGCTCTGGACCTCTGCTTAACGCCACTGTCTGCAACAGTGCGTTCTAGGGGGAGGCCCCACCTGCTCGAAACAGGCGCCAACAACAGCCGAGATCTACTCCATGGGGGGGTGGGAGGGGGGTGCGACAGGCCTTGGAAAAAATCAGCGAACACTCATGCCACATTCGTCTGTGAACGCCCCCCCATTTCCCCCAGTGTTCAAAGTTGGCGGTGGGTCTGAGGAGTTGCACCTCGACCGCAGCCTCCCCCCCGCGTGCCACCTTTGAGTTTGGGGGGCAGGAGGGGTGTTCACTATTCCAAATCCCTTATCAATCGTCCCCCGGGTCCGGTTTTTTAAGGCGCCTTTTTGGTCATTAAGGGGGTCCGGTTTATTAGGTCGCTTTCTCTGGATTGGAGCTGAGGGGGTCTGGTTTACTAAGGCGCCCCCTCGAAGAGGGGGTCCGGAATATTAGGTCGCACTCGGAGGGGGGTCCGGTTTTTTAGGGGGGGTCGATTAATAAGGGATTTGGAGTAATTGTTTCCCTCTACCGGAAGGCCCGCGCCGATCGGCAAAACTGAAGGGGCCCCAGGACACACAAATAAATACACACAAATAAAATAATTCCCCATGTTTTCCCATATTTTCTGAGTTTTTGTCTTCCCCCCCACTGCCCATATTTTCCCAGATTTTCTGGGGAATCGAGGCTTAATTGTGTCTGTGTGTTTTTTTCCTCCCGAAAAACAGAGACAAGCAAACGACCGCCTGCAGCGGCGCCCCGCCCCGCCCCGGCCGCGCGCTGGGGCCGGGACTCCGAGGAGCAGCCGTCGCAGATGCCCTCCGGCGGCGCGGCCGGTGGCGCGGGCGGGGGCGCGCAGGGCGGCGGGAGCGGCGGCGGGTTGTGTTCCTCGTACTCCTCGTACTCCTCCTTCTCCTCCTCCTCCTCCTCCTCCTCCTCCTCCTCCTCCTCCTCTCCTCCTCCTCCTCCCCTTCCTCCCTCCTCCTCCCCCTCCTCCTCCTCCTCCTCCTCCTCCTCCTCCTCCTCCTCCTCCTCCTCCTCCTCCTCCTCTCCTCCTCTCCTCCTCCTCCTCCTCCTCCTACCTCCTCCTCCTCCTCCTCCTCCTCCTCCTCTCCTCCTCCTCCTCCTCCTCCTCCTCCTCCTCCTCCTCCTCCTCCTCCTCCTCCTCCTCCTCCTCCTCCTCCTCCTCCTCCTCCTCCTCTCCTCCTCTCCTCCTCCTCCTCCTCCTCTCCTCCTCCTCCTCCTCCCTCCTCCTCCGCCTCCTCCTCCTCCTCCTCCTCCTCCTCCTCCTCCTTTCCTCCTCCTTTCCTCCTCCTCCTCCTCCGCCTCCTCCTCCTCCTCCTCCGGCGCTCCAGAGGGGGGTAGGGGTGGGGGGGGGAGGCTTCCGAGGAGCACCCTGCTTCTCCAGGAGGCCCTGGCCTTGCATGTACAGAGGAGGCCCGCGCCTTCTAAGAAGCAGGGGTGCTTCTAAGAAGCCTTCCCTCCCCTCCCCCTACCCCCCTCTGCGCGTGGCTGATTTGTAGGGGGGGGAGGGGAAAAACATCCACGCCAGTAGGAGCCACCCCGACAAGCGAAGCCGTTTGGTGAACGCACCCAAGGAAGGAATCGGACTGGGTAGGGCTGATCAGTCAACGCCCAGGGCCGTTTCGCAAACGCCAATTATCGGGCCTGGTTGGTTTTCTTCCCTTGAGTGCGGGAGGAGGAGGGAGCGCGCCCACGGAGCTTCACCCGACCATCACAGCCACCACCACCACCACCACCATCACAACCCACCACTACCACCACCACCTCAGAGAGGCCCTCAGAGACGCCGGCGCCGCCGCCGCCAGCCGCCGCCGACGTTAGCGCCGGCCCGAGAGAAGAGGGAGAGAGGAGAAGTAGGGGAGGAGGGAGGAGAGGGGCGGGGGGGCTCGAACCCCCCCCCCCTCCCCTCCGTCACGGGAGAGGGGGGGGTTCAAACCTCCCCGCCCCAGAGGGGGGCGGGGTCCGGTTTCCCCCCCCTCCTTCCAAGCACCCACAGAATGCGCTTTGCATACATAAATACATGCATACATGCATACATGCATACATGCATACATGCATACATGCATACATGCATACATGCATACATGCATACATGCATACATGCATGCATGCATGCATGCATACATACATACATACATACATACATACATACATACATAGATACATACATGGATACAAACAGACAACCTACCTCACATACAGATACATACATTGATACATACAGACAGGCAGGCAGGAAGGCAGACAGACAGACAGGCATTCATACGTACATACATACATACATACATACATACAGGCAGCTAGGCATGCAGGCAGGCATACACACATACATGCATACACACAGACAAACAGACAGACACCTATACATATACATGTACATGTACACATACCTGTACACATACATTTACACATACACACACTTACATATACACAAACACATACACATACACATGCACATACACATACACATACACATGCACATGCACATACACATACACATACACATACACATACACATACACATACACACACATGTACAATATTCATACACAGACATGTACATATACATATATACACATACATATACACATATACAAGCATTTCCATGTTATATGTTGTATGACTGTTTGACTCTACCCACCACCGCCTTTCGGGTCATAGCTCGGTTCCCTGGCGGCCGTTCGGGCCCATCTGGGCGCGCCCAGAATGCCCTCGGCGAGGCGCAGCTGTTGGAGAGCATCCCGAGGCCTGAGCACCGCCGAGCACCGACCAGAACGCTGGAGAGCCCTGAAACTCGAACCTCGAGCGCATACCTCCTCCTAACTCGTGCTCCTCCCTTCCACTGCACCGCCGCCCCCAAACCTCGAACGAAGCCCCCCAAGCCAGGGAAGCCCCCCGAGCCAGGGAAGCCACAATGCCCCCTCGGTCCGAAGCTCTGCGGGTGCAGCGGGGGGCTCGACCGTCCAGAGTTCACTTCTGGAGAAGACCCGCAAGCAGTGCTGCTGCGCGGGCCGTCTGTCAGGACGGACGAGTTTGCCCAGCTGTGCCACCGGTGCTGATCTGGGGACCTCCTGTAGTCCTCGCTGTGATCTCGGGGCGCGCACGCATGGATCCATGGACTTGGCGCGGGGTCGCCGAATCCATGGATCGGGGGAGGTGCCCTCCCCTTTAATGCGGCCGGTGCCGCCTCGCTCGGCGGCGGGGAAATCCGCGGTTTCCCGTGGAAACGGGACCCGCCGCCAATCCACGACCCCTTAATTGAAGGGGCCCTGGGACACACAAATAAATACACACATAATAGGATTCCCAATTTTTTCCCATATTTTCTGGGTTTTTGTCTTCCCCCCCACTTCCCATAGTTTCCCATATTTTCTGGGGAATCGACGATGAATTGTGTCTGTGTTTTTTCCTCCTGGTTGATCCGTGTCTGCGATCGCCCGATGGAAGCACCCCTGCCTCTCGGAGGGCGCGGGCCTCGTCTGTAGGCCTACGGCACGGCCGGCGCCCTCGAAGGAGCGGCCTCCTCCTGGGAAGCCTGCTCCCCCCTCCCCCCCCCTATACAGTCAAAAACCCTAATAAGGGCGCGCGGTAAGGACGCAGGACCCTTGGAAGCCGAAGTTGGGATTTTTGGGGCGGCGGGCGAGAAAAACCTCAAGGACGCAAGAGCAAGGAAGAGCAAGGACGCAAGGGTACCCTGAGCAAAGTCGCGCGTCCTTATTAAGGTTTTCTACTGTACCCCCTGGTGCGAGCCGCCCCGCCACCCCCCCCCCCTTGCCCCCGGTGACGCCCACTGCCGCCCGAGGACAAAACAGGAGCAGAGGTTCAAAGTCATGTTGCTCCCATCGTACTTAAGGACCACATCCCCCTGATCCATGTCGGCGATCGTCCGATAATCCTCGCTGTGATCTTACGTCGGGCGTGTCCCCCTACAGGGGGACTTTCGAGAAAAACAAAACATAAAAGATACTCAAAACATAGTCAGTCCCTGGACTAATTTTTTGACTATTTTTGAATACTCCTCCTGTAGAGGGACAGGCCCGACTAAACTGTAGTCCTCCGAACCTCGAACGACATTCGGAAGCCGGGCAAGGGCTGCTAAATCCGTGGCTGCTAAGGTCGACCTCCGGGAAGTTGTCTTCGTCCTCCCGGGAAGAAGCCCGTTGACTGTTTCGCGTGCCGCGCCTCATTCCAGGAAGTTGTTGTTTCCTTCAGGGAGGGCCGTTTTATGACTACCTACCAGACCACCCCAACCCAACCCGAAGACCCGAATTTCGGGTTGGGGGGGGCAAGGGTTCCACATGTGTTTTTTCGATGTTTCCCGAACCCCCCCCACTGGAAATCGAGGGTAAATCTGAGCCTTCGGGTTGGGTTGGGGTGGTTTGGTGGGTGGTGATTTTAGCAGCCACGGTTTTAGCAGCCCTCGCCCAACTTCCGAGACAGCCCCGTTTCCCCCCTCCGAGCCGCCCGGGCGCGGGCCCCGCACCCCCTCCGCGCCGTCTTCGCGGTCCACGGCTGCAGCAGGTGGCCGCTGGGGCAGGTCCAGCACTTGTCCTTCTCGGCCGGCCCCGCGGGCGCGGGGAGGAGGAGGACGAGGAGGGAGGGGGAGGGCGAGGAGGACGAGGAGGGGGAGGAGGGGGGGAGGAGGACGAGGAGGACGAGGAGGATGGGGAGGAGGAGAAGGGGGAGGAGGACGAGGAGGACGAGAAGGGGGAGGACGAGGAGGACGAGTAGGACGAGGAGGACGAGGAGGAGGACGAGGGGAAGGACGAGGACGGGTGACTGTGGCGCAGGGGCGTGCACCTGGAGGGATTCTCCGTTGGGGTCACCCCACCTGGACTTGGGAACGGGGGCCTCTCCAACGCTCCCCACAGGCTGCAGACGGCGGACCGTGCGAGACGGCGGACTGCGGTCCGGCGCTCGGCGCTCGGCCAGGCGTGATTCATTCCGAGGAGGGCCCCCCCCCACCTTCTCGAGCCCGGCTGTGCTGTTCGCGAGGACGCCCGTGACCGACCCCCTCCCCCCCCGCCCTGGTCACGCCTGTTGTCGCCAGGGATGAAAAAAACTGCCTCCTCTCCTCGCTTCAACAAAAAAACGCAGCGGACGTTTCGTCGCTCTCTTCGGCCTAGCGGGGCCTCAACGTCAGCAGGCCCCAGGGACCGTAAGAGAACTACCCAGGAACGTCCCGAGTGGAGAACACACATGCAAAACACGAACTCGCCAGCATCCTGTGTAAGAAACCAGTGCGCGGGGCATCTTCCGCACAGACTCGGGGGTGAGAGGAGAATAGTACTCATATTGTGGAATGGTGGAGAGGGGGGGGGAAAGGGGAGGTAGAGAGGGGAGGGGAGAGGGTGGGGGAGAGGGGGGGAGAGGGTTGGGGGGGACGAGCTTGGCTACGCACCCCTGGGGCCCCTGGAGCCTCCACTAAGCCTTGTGACTGTCCAAGAGAGCCCTAACAGAGCGCCAAGGCAGTCCCAAAGTGTCGAGACGGCTGTTGGTAGCCCCACGACGATCAAAGTTGGCTTCGAGAAGGCCCACGAGGCTTCCAAGAAGGCCCACATGTTTTCCCAAAGGCCCCAAGAAACCAATATCGTCCTATTCCCATCGGAAACGTACATGTTTAGCCTACTTGCCTACTTTGTCTTGACACCGTGCAAGACGGCCAAAAGGCCTCCAAGATCGTCCCAAGATGACCCCTGAGGCCCCAGAGAAGGCCCCAAAACGGCCCAAGAGGACCCGAAGACGGCCCAAAAGCCGCTCAAGATCGGCCACGAGGCACCGAAGAGACCCCCAGAGCAGCCCAACACTGGGAATACCAACTGAAATTCGAGCCACTCACCCCGAGATTGCCCCAAGAGCCCCCCGAAGCCCCCGAGGCGTCCGCCGGAGGCCACCAGAGGCCTCCAAGAGTTCTCCCAGAGGATCTCAAGAGACGCCCAAGAGATCGCCAGGCAACCCCAAAAAGCCCTCCAGATGCCCCAAGAAACCCCTTCCGGCTCCGCGCCCCTTCCCCCTTCACGTCCTTCTCTTCTCCTGCGTTCTTTCCAACCAGTCCGTCAAATATATCCTTGGAGTCGGCGGAATGGCGTCAGCCTCTTGACTAACAACGAAGTTGACGAAGTCATCTTCGAAACTTGCCAAATCAAACCCTCGATTGCCACGACATGTTCCTGAGATTGACGTGCCCTGGGATCACTGAGATCCGACGTCTCGACAAAATGAGACATCGTGAAAATCGCGACTTGAGCCCTAGACCCAGTGTTTCTGCGCCATGCTTCGAGCCAGATCGATTCGTGAGGGTCCCGCGGCCTGAATCTGCACCCCGCTCGAAAAAGTTGAGACATCGTGGAAAATCGAGACTGGAGCCCTACGCCACATCTTTCTGCCTGTGAGTGTCCCGCGGTCTGAACCTGGGAAAAAGCGCCCGGTTCAAAAAAAAAAAAAAACTGAGACGCCAAGAGACGATTTTTCATGTTTCGCGATAACGGCCGCTACTGGCCCCGACCCCCCCTCCCCCGCCTCCCAGGTGACATCACGACTCGTGCTGCCCTTCAAGCCGTCTCTGGTCATTCCTAGGCATTCCCAGACGGCGCCAGCGCAAAACGTGATGTTACCAGCCATCCGCCCCCCCCGCCACGCGCAGAGGGGCATAAAGGGGAGGGGGAGAAGGCTTCTTTTAGGTCGGGCATGTCCCCGTACAAGCAGATTTCGGACGAGAAATAACAGATAGTCCAAACATACAAACATGATCGAAAATACTAGAAAAATCGTCCCTTTTGACAATTTTGGAATATTCCTCCTGTAGAGGGACAGGCCCGACTTAAGGCTCCTTAGAAGCACCCCTGCCTCTTGGAAGGCGCGGGCCTTGTCTGTAGACGTATGGCACGGCCGGCGCCTTCTAAGGTTAGGCCAAGCATGTCCCCCTACAGGCGGATTTGGGGCAAAAATGAAACATACTCGAAAAATGTTCAAACATAGTCACACAATTGCCAACAAATCGTCCCCCAGACTATTGTCTTCCTAATTTTGAGTGCTCCTCCTGTAGAGGGACACGCCCGACTTCATTCTAAGCAGCGGCCTCCTTCTGAGAAGCCTTCCCCCCTCCCCCGTTCCCCCCTGGTGCGCGCCGCCCCCCCCCCCGCCCCCGGCGACGCGCCCGAGAGCAAAAACAAGAATAGAGGTTTAAACATCCACTTAGAGGCTTGGAAATAGACACTAACACCAACTTTGGAGTCCCAGAACGGTGCGGTGACGCACCGTGCGGTGACCTCAAAATCCCCCAAGACCTCACCGCACGGTCCGTCATCGCACGGTCTTGGGACCCCAGAGGCCCCTGTCGCCCGAGACGTCCTCGGAGAATGACCCGAATCCCGAAACCGAGCAGTGACCCCGAATCCCCACTGGCTCACCGCACGGTGTGGTCACCGCACCGTTTGGGGGTCCCCGACCAACACAAGGGGTCGCCTCCACCGGGGGAAGATGATCCTAGAGTGCGGTTTTGGTGCTAAGCTTTCGGCCGCCCAAGAAGCTGGAATCTTGCCACCATCACCGAGATCGGGACACTCTCGCCTCGGTCAAGGCACACTGCCGATTTTGGTGCTGGTGTCAACTCCGAGGCCTCCGATCCACCCCCACGAGAACCACCCCGACACGCGAAGTCGTTTGGCAGACGCGCACAAAACAATCATCGAGCAGTAAACGCCCAGGGACGTTTGGTAAACGTCGCTCGTCGTGTCCGGCCCGCGAGGGCGAGCGCTGCCCAGGGACGTTTCCCCGACCCCCACATGCTTCTTTTTCGGCCTGGCTAACTTTAAGAAAGAGGCCGCAGGCGTCATTTTTCAAAAAAAGACGCCTTCCTCCCCCAGGGCCTCCATGAGGCCGCAGGGATGGATCTGATAATGATGATATATGTGCAATGGCTCGCTCCTCCTCCTCCTCTTCCTCCTCCTCCTCCTCCTCTCCCTCTCCTTCCTCTTCCTCGTCTCCTCCGTCCCCTTTTCCTCATCATCATCTTCCTCCCCTTCCTCAGCCCTCAGTGCCCTTCTGCTCCTCGTTATCCTCCTTCTCCCGCCACTTCCTAATTTTTCCTCCGTTGTCTCATCCCCCATCATATTCCTCTTCCTTCCTCCTCCGCTCATCCTTCGTCCCTCCTCCCTACCTCCTCCTCCTCCTCCTCTTCCTCCTCATCCCTCCCCCCTCCTCCCTCTAGCGCCCCTCCTCCAGGCAATCGCTCAGACACAATCGATTAATCGACGGGCCACGGCCGCGGACAAATACAGAGGAGGAGGAGGAGCAGGATGAGGATAATGGGGGAGAAGGAGTAGGGAGCAGGAGGGGAAGGAGGAGGAGGAGGAGGAGAAAGGAGGCGAGGAGGAGGAGGAGGAGCAAGCAGAGGAGGAAGAGAAGGAGGAGGAAGGGAGGGACGAATAAGAGGAAGAGGAAGAACGTGCGCAATGGAAGGCGACCGAGGATCGAGAACGAGTAAGACTAAGAGGACCGAGGATCGAGATCGAGAACGAGTAAGACTAAGAAGACGAGTACGAGTAAGAGTAAGAGGAAGAGGATAATCTCGAGGTTGTGTGTTTTCGTCATGGACTTGACTGCGTCTTCTTCTAAAGGCTCACGGGTCGGAGGCGGGAGGGCACAATTTGGGCCCTGCCGATCTGCGTGAAGGGTTGTCACAAGGTTCCAGATTGTTGCAAAACCTTACATGTTGTGATACCTCACCTTCACGGTCCGCGTGATGGGGAATGCCGATTTTCAGAATTGCGACCTTAGCGAAAGAGCCCCGCTAGAATTTTGTGGAACTGAAGCGTCCCAAACATGGGTAAGTTGCTGGCGTTCGGCTCCCCCTCCCGTGGCACAGAGAGCAACAATTTACAGGCTGTGCTAGAATCCAACGCTGGATTCTAACACAGCCTGGTGGCACCACGAGGGCCAACAGCCTACAATTTGCAGCCTGGTGGCACAACGGGCCAGCGTTAGTTGGCCCTCGTGGTGCCACCTATCTTGGGCCGTTGCACCGCCTTCCGTCTAACATAGCCATTTTGGACCAGGGCATCAGTGCTGTGCCCATTTGTTTTTACGAATGCCGTGGTTCTCCTATGCCAGGATTTCTGAGAAACACGTTTCAGAGGCCATGTCTCGCGTGCCAGCATCACAGCACAAGAATGGAGATTTTATACTGTACTCGAAGATGAAGTTCGGACGGACCCCTTTGTGGAGAGAGGCCAAACCACTAGCCCACGTTGTCTCGTGTATCCTTGAGCGCAGCGGTGGGTTGAATGTCACGCAGACATCGCTGCAGCACGGCATCCAGAAGTATGCGACAGAGAATGATATGAAGCTGACCGACGCCGTCATCGAGAAGGCAGCTTACAAGCTGCGCGCGCTGATCAGCCAACTCCATTTCCAGAAAAGTAAGACTAGGCCGATTCCGACAGGCTATGCAGAATCTTTCTCGTCCGTGCTCGACATGATCACCCTGCAGGAGGACGAGGCCCGCGCCGACGAGGACATTGTCGTGATGTCGCCCGTGAAGGCTGTCACCGACA